GGACAGATGAAGGCATTATCAATGTGTAGTTTTTTTAAACTAATTATTGATTGTACATAATATTTGGGAAAGTGATGTGGTTATTTTAAAAAATCAAAGATGATCTGTCAGTTTATCCCCCAGACAGCTGAGAAGTTCAGATGAAGATAAATATGAGCATATGGAAGGAGATGTTTTCTGTCACCCATGAATATTTGCAATCACTCAATTGACCTACATTATGGAGGGGCATTGTAAGGCCCAATTTCCCACTGACACTAACCTGAAGTTGAATTTGGAGCTGAAGCTATAGAAAATGCCATGTTCTCTAAGGCTCCAGTCCAACAAAGCACTTCTGCAAATACTTTAAGTACATGCACACTCCCACTGAAATCATTGATTAAAGTGTTTACAATTACAGTGTCCTTGTCTCACAGGGGTTAACTAGCATAATATGGTGCTTAATTTGTATTTGATTGCTTGCTATTGGCATATAGCTTGGTAACTTAGCTCATAAGAATAGTTCCTGGCTTCCAACAGCGTTCATCAAGAGGAAACTGAAGGACATAAATCCACACCGTGTAGAGGTCAAAGCATAGGGGTTTATTACACACAGCGCTGGCGGAGTGTCACCTAGCTTATTAGGCTCGGAGACACTGTTAATCAATTGATTACAATTGAATGTATAGATTTTCCATGGGCGGGGGAAAGTGACGGGGTAGGCAGTTCCACACCCCGGGATAGGTTTTGCAGCAAGACAAGATAGCACAATAGCCAATGGTTAAAAGGTACACAATGTCTCCGCCCATGGTCTCAAGTTAGCAAGTTAACATTTGATTAATACTTTGATAAAATGTTATTAGTATAAAATATATATGTTGAATTCTGATTTGGGGTCCATAGGAATGGAGTAACTCCTTTGATTGTCTGACAGGTACATGTCTAGGGGATAAAGCAAAGAAACAGTGAAAGCATATGGAAATAGAGATTGTTTTCTTTATGTCTTAAGGCAGGGCATTGGTCCCTTGGCAGGGAGGTGGAAGGATGCCATATCATTATAGTGACATGTGCCAATATTTCATAAACTCAAGGTTGGATTTGTGGGAAGACTGTTTTCTCTTCAGGAGAAACACAACAGGAACAGGGATCCTTTGTTCAATTTGAAACATTGGATGAAACATAATTATTCAGTTATTGCTTCAACATCTGGCATTTCTACTGACCAAGCATATTTTAGCAAAGGTTTCTCTTAGCTAATCACTATTAGCTAGGCCTCTGGTCTCTTAACCAAACTCTGGACTTCGGGTCTGAGAAAGAGCTGGCAAATCCATATACCAGGTTGTTATATAACATGCACATGGATTTTAACCCTTCACAAACTACTGCCAGGTTGTGGAATCAAAGGGGATTCTGACTTCTGTTTACTTGTTTGGTTTTATCTAAAGCACTTTTTCTTCAACAATTGAGTGAGCACTAATTCTTACCTTTGTGAGCTGATATTCATAGAATCCTAGAAATGTAGGCCTGGGAGGGACCTTGAGAGATCATCAATTCCAGCCCCCCGCACTGAGGCAGGGTCAAGTATACCTAGGCCATCTCTGATAGGTGTTTGTCTAACCAGTTCTTAAACACCTCCAATAATGGGGATTCCACAACTTTCCTTGGTAACACATTGCAGTACTTAACTATCCTAATATTTAGACAGTTTTTCCTAATATCTAACCTAAACCTCCCTTGCTGCAGATTACCCTGATCATTTCTTGTCCTGTCTTCTGTGGATATTGGGAACAACTGATCACCATCCTCTTTGTAACACTCCTTAGCATATTTGAAGACTGTTAGCCAGGTCCCCGCTTAGTCTTCAATTTTCAAGACCAACATGCCCAGTTCTTTTAACATTTCCTCAGGTTTTCTAAACTTTTTATCATTTTTGTTGCTCTCTTCTAGACTTTCTCTAGTTTGGCCACACCTTTCCTAAACCGTTACACTACTCTGGCACAGGCATCACCAAAGACAAGTAGAGTGGTACAATTGCCTCCCATGTCTTAAATATGATACTCCCCTGAGTGCACCCCAGAATGTTATCTTTTTTCACAACTACATCACGTTGTTGGTTCATATTCAATTTGTGATATACTTGAATTCCCAGATCCTTTTCTGCAGTACTACTGCCTACCCAGTTATTCCCCATTTAGTATTTGTGCATTTGATTTTTCCTTCCTAAGTGTAGTTCTTTGCACTTGTCTTTATTGAATTTCATGTTGTTGATTTCAGGCCAATTTTTTCAATATTACATAAGAATGACCATATTGGGTCAGACCAATGGTCCATCTAGTCCAGAATCCTGTCTTCTGACAGTGTCCAGTGCCAGATACTTCAGAGTAAATGAACAGAACAGAGAAATTTGTGAGTGATCCATCCCATCATCCAGTCCCAGATTCTGACAGTCAGACGTTTAGGGACATCTTCCACCCCTGACCATCTTGGCTAATAGCCATTGATGGACCTAGCCTCCATGACCTTATCTAATTCTTTTTCGAACCCAGTGATACTTTTGGCCTGGCAATGAGCTGTTGACTGCATTATGTGAAGAAGTACTTCATTTTATAAGTTTTAAACCTACTACCTATTAATTTCATTGGGTGACCCCTGGTTCTTATGTTACACGAAGGGGTAAATAACAGTTTTCTGTTCATTATTTTCTAGACCTCTATCATATCCTCTCTTAGTCATCTCTTTTCTAAGATGAATAGTGGTCTTTTTAATCTCTCCTCAGCTGGAAGTTGTTCCAAACTCCTAATAACTTTTGTTGCCCTTCTCTGTACCTTTTCTAATTCTAATAGATCTGATTTGAGATGGGGCAACCAGAACTGCACACATTATTTGAGGGGTGGGCATACCATGGATTTACATAGTGGCATTATATTTTCTGCCTTACTAGCTATCCCTTTCCTAATGGTTCCTAACATTCTGTTAGCTTTGTTGACAGCTGCTGCACATTGAGCAAATGTTTTCCGAGAATTGTCCATGATGTCTACAAGATCTTTCTTACGTGGTAGCAGTTAAATTAGACCCCATTATTTTTTATGTATAGTTGGGATTGTTTTCCAATGTGCATTACTTTGCATTTATCAACATTGAATTTCATCTGCCATTTTGTTGATCAGTCACCCAGTTTTGTGAGAAGCCTTTGTCGCTCTTTGCAGTCAGCTCTGGACTTTACTCTGTTGAATAATTTTGTATCATTTGCAATTTTTGCCACCTCATTGTTCACCCTCTTTTTCATATAATTTATGAATATGTGAACAGCACAGGTCTCTGTACAGATCCTTGGGGGACCCTGCTATTTATCTCTCCCTGCTGTGAAAACTGACCATTTATTCCTACCCTTTGTTTCCTATCACTCTTATCCCATGTCTTTGCTTAAGAGCCTTTGGTGTGGGACCTTGTCAAAGGCTTTCTGAAAGTCCAAGTACACTATATCAACTGGATCACCCTTGTCCACACGCTTGCTGAAACTCTCAAAGAATTTTAATAGATTGGTGAGATACAATTTCCATTTACAAAAGCCGTGTTGACTGTTCCCCAACATATCATGTTTATCTGGGAGCCTGATAATTCACTCAGAGCAGCCACATTCTGAGAAATAACACCAGAAGGCAGACCTACTGTTGACAATTTAGTCCAGATCCTCTGTTGATGTAAAATCAATGAAGCTGTGTTGATTCACACCATCTAAGAATCTAGATAATTGATTTTTATGGCAGAAAACCCTGGAAGCATGAAAGGAAGCTAGGGAACTAAATGTCATCTGGGTACATACCAAATTTAACATTTATCATCTGTTTTCAGATATGATGTTAACCTAGAGAATGCTAGGAAAGTTGGAGTAAAAAAATCCATTACCACCTACACATCTTTGGGTTGCATAGAGTTTATTTTATTTGGAGCCTTTGCTCTTGCACTTTGGTACGGAACCAAACTCACAGTGGAGGAGAAAGAGAATTATGACATCGGACGTGTGTTAATTGTAAGTACAGCACAGTATAGTCCAATTAGCTGAGGCAAACTTTTTAAAAATGGTCTATAAATTAGAGAAAATGCTTTGTTGTTTAAGTACTGCATAAAAAGATCTATAATTCCTACTTGGGCACAAAGTACCCATCAAACTAAATGTTAAAATATGTTTAATATAAATCAACAGAGATGTTGAATCTACATATTTAATACCTCAAAGTTCCATAACAAAATCTCATTTGGTTGCTGTCTGGAGTGGTTCACGACCATGAGTGCCTACCTCACGGCAGGCTGTCAGAAAACAGGGCAGACAGAGGGCCACCCAGAGGGGAGGACAAGTGGGGAAATTTGCCCCAGGCCCCGCAGGGGCCCCGCAAGCCCTGGCCCGGCGGCGGTCCGGGTACGGCGGCATTTCGGCGATGGGGGGCCCTTCAGTGTTGCCGAAGATGCAGAGCAACTGAAGGGCCCCCCGCCACCGAAATGCCGCTGAAGACCCAGACCACCGCTGTGTGAGTACAAGCGCCGCAGCTCCTCTGCTTTGCCCCAGGGCCCCTGAATCCTCTGGGTGGCCCTGGGCAGACACCCAAAACTGGTGGTGTGTTCTAGAATTAGATTTCACCAAGCCAGTAACAAATGTGAATTCCGGGATCACTATACCAGTCTTACCATGGAGTCACAGACAGACTCTCCAGTCTATCTTGCCACCCAGACAAACTTGACTTTGTGATAAAAGGTCATTTACACCAAAAATCACACCATATTCAGGTTGCTTCCAGTCCCAGAGACTAATAACTTACCCCACATTAATTGGTATCCTATATTTTATACCAAAGACAACGCTAGTAGACAATGCTACAGTAAACTAACTAAAGGTTTATTAACTAAGAAAAGGTAAAAGAATTATTGAGAGATTAAAGCAGATAAAATATATGTACAGATGAGTCAGTCTATAATTCCAAATGGTAGCAGAGATGTAGTGATCTGCCAGTTTCCCAAAAGTCTCTCAGGGCTACCCAGAATAACTCGGGAATCTCCATCTCCCTGTTCATCTATTCTGCCCTGTTAGAATCCAAACAGTGCAGAGATGAAGGATATTTCCCTGAATCCATACTCATAGTTTTCTTCCCACAGAAAACAAGCTGACAGGGTCAATACCCCTGTGGGCTTTTCCTTTGATGGCAGAGAGTGAGGAATACATTTGGAGTCTTTGACCTTCGATCATCACACACAATGACCACTTGCTTTGAAATTAACACTTTTCTGTTAAAGTTTTTCATTTGCATTCCACAAGGAGTCTTTCTCATTTGATGGGTTATTTACTGACAGGTGCATACACTATGTGAATGTTTGCTACAGTATTATAACGGGATCCAGATAAGTGAAAACAACGCATTAGTTAAAACAATGCATTAACATCCCATTAGTTTTCATGAAGTTTAAACACCAAATACATTCTTATACATTTAACAATCACTTTGCACTATACTAATACACAAATGAATTGGCCTGGCCTCCAGCTATGCATCTGTAAGCATTCAGTGAGGTCTGGAGCTTTGGCATGAGCTGGCACCTGGTCTGCCAGTGTCACAGCCATGTGACCATATTTCATTTTTTTAAAATCCCTGCAAGGGATTATTGTACTTTACCAATACATTTAGATTATTTTTCCTTTGGAAAGGAATA